AGAAGGTTCTCAGCTGGTCAGGAAAGGCCTAGGGGCCTGCCAGCCAGAGCAGCACCAGCATGAAGCCATCTGAGAGGAAGGGGCAGTGGGACAGCAGTCACTGAAAGGAGGAGGAAGCCAGTGAAGCTTGGCTGGATAGGGACGGTGGACAGCAAGCCAACAGACTGAAGGGTCGTTCACTCTGAGTGTGGCAGAGTTGTAGGGGGTCCAGGAGCATTGAGAACAGGTTGCACAGTCTGACATAGGCCCCTGCCTGAGTGCTGCCCTCCATAGTTCTGGTCCTTAAAGCTGAAGTGAGTGGGAGAGAGGAGTGGGCTGCATGTGAACCCCTAGAGTCCAGGGTCTCACATCCCAGCAGGGGCCTCAGGTGGAGGCCTCAAAATCTAGCCCATCCCTGGCCTGATGACTAACTGTAAGGCAGCCTCAGGCCTGTAAGGAAGAGGGACAAACTGACTCCAGTCATCTCTGTAGTCTCCTGAGGCCCAGGAAAGGCTCCATGGTCTGGGTCAGCAGCAAAGCCAACATGCTGTAGGTGGCAGGACGATATGCCACACACCGGGCACCCAGTGCTTCCCCAGGCCCTGTCTTAGGAGTCAGAACTGATGCTGCCCTGTCCCTTGGTGTTCAGTCAAGCCAGGACCTCAAGGAGACTCCCAGTACCAGGACTATCACCCCCCACCCGACCCTGGTCAGGCTTCTCATGCCTGCTGGACAAGGCTCTAGGGGGCCTTGTTGTCATGGAAACAGTGGGCAGGTGCAGAGCTCAACTGAGGTGGCATCTGCCCAAGGCCCAGCACTGCACCCACATGTAAGGGGTGTGGACTGGCCTGAGGGTACCAAGAAAGGCCTAAGCAAGGAGGAGTCTGTGAGGGATGCCCCAGAGCCCTAAGCCGGGCAGACACTCGGCAGTATGAGCCACACACTAAGATGCTCCTGGGACACACATCTCTGACTTTGGACCACTCTAGCCAGATCACTGATCACCTGGTGAGCAGCTGGCCCACTGAGGCAGGGAGGCCTGGGCCTTGGCCCTGTCCAGGAAGCTGGCCACATGGCGCGTTGATGAGCTCAAATGCAGACAGGGTGGTGCCAGGCAGTCACCTCTGGGCTCAGCCTCCTGTGACAACCCTGGTCACTCACACCCCAGGTGTCTGCGGGAACAGGCTGTAATGGGTGCCATGTGTTCCCACACGGAGGAGGGCTCCAGGAACCAGATGAGATGAGAGGACAGTTGGAAAGAGGTGGATGATCCTAGAGCCCAGGAGGACAGCCTCAAGGAACTGGAGAGGGCCTTGGTGAGAGACTGTTGGGACCAGAGTCTTGGCCCTTTGTGGTTACGAATTGGGCTACAAACCTTGCGTTAGCTATTTGAAACTACCAGCTGTTTTATGGGAGAAAGATGAGGCTTTCTGCTCCCTTAAAGATTTACAGCCTTGGAAACCCTGTACAGGGTTGCTATGAGTCAGTTCTGACTCCATGGCATATAACCACCACCACCACAGGATGGGAGACAGACATGTACAGCAACCTCTCGCTGGGACTGGCTTTGAGGGAGCAGAGGTGCTGCAGCCTGTGTGAGGAGGCCCCAGACAGCATGTGGGAAGGCTAGGGAAGGCTGGCTGGACCCCGAGCAATGTTGTGGTCAAGCATGCACCTCAGACCTGCATACTTGGGGTGGACACAGCCAGGAGGTGTGACCTGAGAGAGCTCCATAGGGTGGGCAAGCAGCTCCAGCTCTCCTCTGCGCAATCCTGGACTTGGGCACCAAGACAATCCCAAACCCACGGCCATTTGTAAGACAGAGTAGAGCTGAGACTGGACATCTTTATAGGAACAGATATGCTCTCCTACAGAATAGTTGGTGGGTTTGAATTGCTGTCCTTGTGATTCACAGGGCAACACTGAATCCACTATGCCACCTGGGCTCCTGACATATAGGAAGCACTTGGCAAATGCTAGTCTGTTCCATTTGCTCTGAATATGCCCTTTCTTCTGGTGCCTTACCAGCTCCCTGAGCTGTGCCTTCTGAAGCCTAAGGTCCCAACCCTTCCACCAACAGGGAGAGTAACAACCACCCAAACCAAACCACTGCCATGTGGCAGCTCCTACTCTGAGCTACTCCATAGGGTTTCAGAGACTACATCCTTACAGGAGCAGACAGCCTCATCTTTCCACAGGTGGATTCAAACCTCCAACCTTGCTATTAGCAGCTCATGGTCATCCTATTTGACAGATCAGGACGCAGGGTCATTGCTGTGTCTGGTTTCCCAACCCCTTCTCATCTCCAAGCACGGGCAGGTCTCTGGTCTAAGAACACCCCAGCTCACCACTTCTGCCTGCCTCCAAAGTCGAAAGTACATCGACACTTTACATCACCGCCCACCAGTGGGAGCACAACCACCTACTGACTGATGTCTATGGAAACTCCAGGTTACCCAAGTCACAAGTGCCTCCAAAAGCTAAAGAGCTGATGAGGTCTAGCCAAGAGGGAAGGAGGGCCAGACATTGACACTTGAAAATTTTGGTTTTCTCTGATGATCTCAATCCCTTCCCCAGGGGGGTGGGCAGCTTCACGAGAGCCACTGAGGTTCCCCAGGGGCGGGGGGGATACCAGATGTGGTCTCCTGGCGGACTAAGGGAGGGGGTCCTGGTGCCCTGACAGTCTGGCAAGAATTCCCCTCACCTCACCCTCTGGACAGCCTGATGCTACAGGCTCCCTCCCAAGTTTCTGCAATGGCCGGCTAAGGTTTGCATCCCACAAAAGGCGGGGAGTTCTGTCAGGGGCCCGAGCCCAGTAAGTAGAGCACCACAGGGTTCAAACAGAATGGGAAGGCACTGGGGTCGGAGGTCAGGAGTCCTGACTAAGGGACTAGTCCAAATGCTTTCTGCTCCCGTGAAGATTTATAGCCTTGGAACCCCTGTACAGGGTCGCTATGAGTCGGAACCAACTCCATGGCACATAACAACAATGTACTTATATAAATATACACACACACACCCATATGTCCATATGTACAGGGCAAGGGAGTCCTGGTATGGCACTACAGGATAAACTCTGGACTGCTGACCACCAGGTTGGCAGTTCAAACTCAGCAACCACATATTGGAAAACCTATACTGCATCACTATGAGTCAGAACCAACTCGATGGCACTTAACAATAGTCAGGACATGTGCACGCCCAGGGCTAACCCCACTATAGCTGCTGGGGTCGCTCTGCAGACACCTGCCTCCCTACGTGGACCCCAAAGCTCCCAACTCCAACTTGGTCCCTGGCATTCTGTTTCCCGTGAGTGGGCTCGTAGGCTGCCCACCAGTGCTGTGAAGGAGGGTCCCTGCTTCCTATTTCATTGGAAGGGCTAGCCTCCCCAGACCTGCCAGGGTCCTACTGCCTTCTTTGGGGAGCATGATCCCCAAGGTGGCCGGGAATGGCAGACACCTATAGGCATCCCCTGCTACTTGCTGGTTGGTTTCTCCTTAGCAGACACCTCAGAGAGCAAAGTGTCAGCTTTGCTCTCTAAGAACACCCTCTGAGAATACCCCATGTGGGAACTCGGGAGAGGGGTGTTAGCCAATCTTGTGCTGGGCCTCCTTCCTTGGTCAAGCAACATTGCCCTTCTACCCTGCAGAAGTAGCAAGCCGGTGCTCCTGCCATGGGACATGGAGCATAGTTGCCTCCAGGCCTCAGTTTGTTCATCTGTGCAGCAGGCACAGGGTGGTGTGAGGATTCAGGAGCCAGCACGTGCTGGCACCTATGTCCATGCATGTACATCCACCATTGTCTTGTTGATGTTGTTGGTGAGGTGACCTGGTTGGAAAAATCTTCACTAACCTAATATTTAAACCTAACTTTGTCCAGACACATGGCTTGTTCGCTGAAGTGTAAAACAGGCAGCCTTCCTAAGAAGTAATTTCTTGACAACATGTCCAGAAAAAGAGCCAAAGCTCGTCTTATTCGCACCTCTAAGGAGCATTCGGGTGTATCTCTTCTAAGACTGATTTGCTTGTCCTTCTGGCAATCCACGGTATAGACAGTATTCTTCACTGACACAAAACCTTGAATGTTCCAAATTTGTCCCATTTTGAAATGCATGTGAGATGAGTGAAAAGACCAGGGCTCGGCCAGGTGTATTTTAGCCATCAAAGTGACATCTTTGTGCTTTAATGCTTTAAAGAAACCTTTTGCAGCAGATTTGCACAGTGCAGTAACATTGTTTGCTTTCTCCACTGCTGCTTCCATGGGTATTAATTATTGATTCAAGAGGAATGAAATCATCAACAACATCAGTTTCTTTACTGTTTATCATGAAGTTGCTTATTGGTCCAGTTGTGAGGATTTTCATTTTCTTTACATCCCGGTGTAATACACACTGAAGGCTGGCTTTTTTGTCACAACACACCTTAAAATCTCATTAGGACATGTACTTGAAAAAGGAAAGTTAAAAATGGGCTGGGAGTCAAATGGCAGTCGTGGTGGAAGAGCTGTGCCCCCCTTGGTGGTAGGCATTGTTGCCTGTTGGGCTGTCCTCCTTTCTATTGCTGGACTGCCAGGTGCACATACATCAGGGTAGGGATAGAGGTGTAGAGATATACAGCAGTCGCCCTCTCTTCTCACTGATTATGGTTGAGAACCAAGGGAGCCCCAGGTTCTAGAACAGACCCCAGCAGGCTGGAGCTGGCACAGTTGTGGGCTGTGTGGAAGACTAAGCCTTTGCCTGGGCTCACTGTTGGGAATGGGCAACCAGACAATGTCAACCTCAGAGTTGTGGTCGGTGATGACCAGGTCCTGGAGGGCAGGGGGCCATGTGCGGCACCACAGCAACCCTCTGCTGCAAAAGTGACTCCCAGGGTGAGGAGGGGGCATTGGTCAGGCCAGAGCCCCAGAGCCTGTAGGAGGCGGGGAGAGGTTTGACGTCACTGGAAGGCCACCCCTGAGGGCTGGGCCCCCGTGGGTGCTGCCTCAGGTCTTTCTGTCCCTACTAATGCCAACTCTCCCTGCAGAGCCGGATGGCCGAGAGCCTGCGCCTTTTCGATTCCATCTGCAACAACAACTGGTTCATCAGCACCTCACTCATCCTCTTCCTGAACAAGAAGGACCTGCTGGCGGAGAAGATCCGGCGCATCCCACTCACCGTCTGCTTCCCCGAGTACCGCGGCCAGAACACCTACGAGGAGGCAGCTGTGTACATCCAGCGGCAGTTCGAGGACCTGAACCGCAACAAGGAAACGAAGGAGATCTACTCCCACTTCACCTGCGCCACCGACACCAGCAACATCCAATTTGTGTTTGATGCCGTGACCGATGTCATCATCCAGAACAACCTCAAGTATATTGGCCTCTGCTGAGGGCCGCTGGCCTGTGGAGCCATGGGGTCTCACTCTGCACATGAGGGGCCTAGACGGGGTGGGCATGGGCCCTCCTGAGCCCTACTTTCCTGCAGGCTTAACTATTTGTGGAAGGGATGCTGGAAAGGCAGGCACACACATGTGCACACACATGCATATGCACACATGTTTGGAGATGTTTCCCACAGCGCTGAGCTCCTTGGAAGACTTGGGAAGCACCCCAAGTTCACCACAAACTCTGCCTGTTAACTCTGCCTTCCCGAGCCAGTCGCCTTCTGCCTGGGGCCAGTGTCAGACTGTTGGGCATGAGCAGCTGCCTGGAGGAGGTGTCTCTGGTGTGCTCACTGGACTGGGCACCTCTCTCCCTGCCACATCTGTTGGCCCACATACGTGCACACACCTGTTCACTCGGGATCCTGGGCCTCTAGAGCCAGGGTTCGAGGCTGGCCCCTGGGGGCCTTGCTCAGTTCCTCTTCAATGGCTTCACAATATGCAGCAAAAACCCACACAATAAAACATGTGAGACAGTTTCTCTCAGCTTAGGCCAACTGGGGTCCAGCTGTTCTACTAGTCTGATGTTTTATAATCAAAACCTGGTTTTTTCTTCTTTCTCCAGCATCCCTTTTTTTTTTTTGGTCAAATCTTGTGGTGTTTTGCGGAAAAGAAAAAAAAATTACAGAAAATTTTAAATGTAGTTGGGTATTCTTTTTTAAATGTAGATTTTACGAACGAAATTTTTTTTCAGGTGGTCCTTTCTATGTCTGGCTTGCTGAGTGTCAAAGTTGTTCTTTGGACGATGCCATCTGTCTGCTCCAATCCCCGGGGTGCGGGCCACAGAGCTGAGCTGTACATAACCTAGCCTTCATGGAGCCCTCTGGTCCGCTGATGTGGTCTTCTGCTTTGTTTTTATTTAAGTAAATTAATGTGATGTATTTAAGGAGGTCCTTTACCAAGGAGCAAGGGAACAATAACGAAACTTCTTGGTATTTAAAGCGTCCGTGACCTGCGGCTTTGTCATGTGAAGATCAGGGGCAAAAGTGGGCACCCTCCGCCCTCACCCGGCCCCCATGCCTGCATCTGGCGTGGCTGGAGGTAGCCTCCATTCCTGTGACGGCACAGCCAGCGTTGTCGCCTGAGGGAGGCCCTCTACCCAGGGCCATGTAAATACACACCCCTTGCCAAAAGCCCCTCCTCTCGCCCCCATTGTCTGGTGCCCATGTGTGCAAAGTCTCAGCCCGGAACGTTATGACATGCACAGAGGGAAAGAGGAGCCACTTGGTGACGGTGTGCAAGTGTCACAGATTGTCTACTTTCAGAAAATAAAACGAGTGAATGGAGCCAAGCCCGTCCTGGTGTGCTGTGTACACGTGTCAGTGCCATGGGCCGCCTGAATGCTGTCCCGCAGGGTGGGTGGCTGGGGACACCGCCTGCTCTACTCCTTCGCCCCCCATGTAAAACACATACAGGAGACATTAGAGTGAGACCAGCGAGAATAAACACCCTCAGAGGCTCACCAGGTCTACTGCACCCAGCAGTGGGCTAAAAGCTCTGCTCCCCTGGCACCTCCAGGACCAGCCCAGCATGAGCCAGGCTGCAGCCACACACACAGCCTGAGGTCCAAGTCATGCCAAAGCAGGACAGGGTTTCAGAGCAGTGAGTAGATTCTGAATCGGTATATCTGCCCCCTGGGGCTTCAAAGCTCTGAATCTTTACAGAAGTCAACTACCTCATCTTTCAAACTGCCAGTCTCTCGATTGGCAGCACCATTTTTAACCCGTTGAGTCACCAGGGATCCTTAGATGCGCAACAGCGGTCCATTTTTCTGCCCAGGAAATGTGCCCAAGGTTAGGGATCCTGGAGTCAGATGCTGGAGGAGCCACGCCCTCTAGGGAAGGTGCTTCCCTCAGCCTTCCAGCTTGCCCAGCTCTACCAGGACCACCCTGTGGTTTGTGGGGAGCAGCCTCCTTACAGTCAGGACCTCACTGAGCTGATAGGTGCCCATGTACACACAGACACGCTCCCACACATCCATGTGCACGCATACACATTGTACTCATGTGTCCTGCGCACACATCCATGTGTTCCTGTATTCTCATGCACATGTCCATTGTGCACCTGAGAATGTACACAGGCATGTGCATTCAGCCACAGGCATGTGCACACTTGTGTGTCTGCCTACAAACAACTATTTGCACGCATGCACTCATCTATAGACATGTATGCACACATTTCAAGCATGTCACATGTTTACACACACACACTCCACCACCAACCAGGCACTCCTGGCATGTGTCATACCCCCTCATGTGGGGTTGTCTCCCCACCCCACTACACAGCCACCCCAGAGCTCCTGTGTAAACAGAATCTCTGTTTTACACTTAGAATCTCACACTTTGGGCTTCGATGCCAACTGTGAAGACACTAATTTCACCATAAGTATCCATCTACTGAATACACACAGCTGAAAGGAAATAGTGGCGCCATGCCTGCCTCCATGAAGGACTGAGGGATTAAAGTGGGTCTGCCTGGACTCTCGGCACCCACCCCACAGGGCTCTCCATGCTCTGATGGACCCTGGCCCTCGGCCACACTCCCAGTCTCCCAGCTCTCATTCCCCAGATGTACCCCTTCGCCAAATGTATCCTCTCCATCTGCACAGTCCAAGACTTGCCCATCCTCAGGGTCTAACTCAAAGCTACCTTCCCCTCCAAGAGACCTCCTGGCTGCCCCTTTGGGAGCCCCTCCCCACAGACCCGCTCCAATTGGAAGGGGGAGGTGTGTTTTGCCAGGTATGATGAGCACTTGTCATTCCCTCCTGACCTTCTGGCACCTGGACATGGTTGGGCATAGAGAAGCCGTGGGCTTTGTGAGAGTGACACTGGGACCTGCACTCAGCATGAGACATGTGGGGAAGGTGAGAGTCCCAGTCCCACTTCCTCCCCGGTGGTCACATGATCACCATGACCTCAGCCCCCTGGGTGTGTCACTCAGCTGAGTTCACCCTGCTCCTAGGAGAGACACACCTAGAGGCTGCCTGGCGCTGACTCCACCTGCTTGCACCCCTTTGCTGAGCCCACCCGGAACCAGATGTCCCACCTGCTAGGACCATCGAACACCTCAAGAAAGGTGCTGAAAATACAGTATTCTCTGCTGGAGAAGGGGGTGCAGGAGGAGAAGGCATTCAAGGGCAACTTCCAACCTGACCCTGAGCAAGGCCCCCAGGGGCACACCCAAGGATGTGCCTGGGTCCACAGTGCACCCTGTCCTGAAGCAGGTGGAGAAAGGAAAGATCCTCCATATCTGGGGCCTAGCAGTGGACCCCTCCATCCTGAGGTGTCCTAGCCCACTCACCAGGCAGCTGATGGGAGACAGGTGTAGGGGGGTCCTGATTCTCCAGCAGCCCAGCCCACAGCTCCACTGCCTCAGAAACAGCACCCCAGATTCCAGTCCAGACAGTATGATCCCAGGGATACCCCCACCATCAAAATCAGGACCCCAAACCCTTCTAACCTGTTCCAGACCCTCTGAGTCCTAAGGGACGTTCCCACAGGGCCTGGCTGCCTCTGTCCCTACACCCGCTTTCAGGCTGTGACAAGGCCTGGAGTCTTCTTAGCTTCCAGCCCTGAGGTAGCTGCCAAGGGAGGCAAGATGCAGGCGCTCTGGTTCCATGACCCCAGCTCGTCTGCGCCTGGACACAGGGCAGACCCAGGCCAAGCTCCCTGCCCCTTGCCTCCCAGGACCCTCCAGCCTCAGAGCCCTACTCTGCACCACACCCCTCCACAGCCTTAGCATCTTCCTCGTGTTCTGGTCATTCTCTCCTCCACATAGGATGTGAGTGGTCTCACCCTGCCACACAGGCAAGCAAGGGGTTTCCAGTGAGTCATGGACAGGTCCTCTAGGCCAGTGTGCATAGCCTGGACAGTGGTGGTGGTTGTGGATGGAGATGTTGTGCAGACAGTGTGCTCTGGTCCTGTGGATGCAGCCCCCCCTCCACACACCTCACTCCCACTCTGCAGAAACATCCAAGAGCCGTGTTTGTGACCTTGGTGACCATCCGAGAGAGAAGTCAGCTGAGCCAGAGCAGGGGCCCTCCAGGACACCCATTCTTTCCCTGCAGACCCTTTGCAGCCCACCCCAAGGCTGGCTCTGGGGGGACCTGGGGGTCTTCCTGCCCCCAATGGGCAGAGGGGCTCCCTTCAGCCAGGCCACTGAGCCATTGTTTGTCAAGTCCATATATGTACACTATGGGCAGCTACTCAATTCCCCCCCAACCCTGGGGACTCTGCCAGGGTGGGAGTGTACTTGTGATAAACCCCATGAGAATGGGTCCCTGTGAGGGCCCAGTCATGCTCCTGCACTGTGCTGCCCCTGTCTGTGGAAGGCACAAGGCAGGGGTCCACGGGTCTCAGGGCCATAGGCAGCGGGACTGCAGGAAAGTTTATCCAGGGAGCCTGGGATGTGCAGGAATGCCCCAAGGTTACAGAAGAATCCTCCATTCCAGCGTCAAAGCTGTCTTCCCAGAAAACAAACCATAAAAGGAGAGCCGTTTCCACAGTGGCCACAGGAGATGGAGATTCTTCCAGAATCCTGGGCAGGCACTCTGGGCCCAAGTGCAGAGCCTGGTTCCCCCACCTGAGGCCGCACCGCCCAACTACAACGCAGGGCATGTGTGTGGCAGTATGAGGCAACCCCTGCCCACCCACTGGACTGCCTAGAGGCACTAAAGGCACCTGTCCTGCCTCTCCCCCTGCTGGTCGCTCAGGGAATCACACCCGATCAGGCCGGGGATGTGGATTGGAAGACCTTGGAAACATTTTTCCGCAGACACGCAATTTTACAGATGGAGAAACTAAAACAAGGGGTCTGGGGCAAAGGAAGTGCCCAATATGTATTTATTGAAGGAAGGAAAGAGCAAATGAGTTCACCATATCCAGAAAACAACTAACAAATGATCCTCAAAATTATGGCAGAACCAGTTGCCGTGGGTTGCACAACTCATGGTGACCCCATACGTGTCAGAGTAGAACTTTGCCCATAGAATTCTCAAGGGTTGATATTTCTGAAGTAGGTCTCCAGGCCTTTCTTCCAAGGTACCTCTGGGTGAACTTGAACCTGCAGCCTTTCCATGAACAGCTGAGCACATTAACCATTTGTACACCCAGGGCCTCTTTAGTAGTGAAGATGGTGCCAGACTGACAAGGGTCAGAGCAGAAACCCTGACACCAAACACACTCAGCACAAACGTGCAAGCAGCCATTTCAGGCACTTTCACAGCCTAAATGTGAAAAGCAAAAAGGCCTAAACTTTGATAAGACAATACAGCAGATTATGAGTATACATCTAAAAGTATTGCTATAAAATCATAGAAACTTTTAATCAACAAAAATATCAAAACATGAAGCTATTGTTTCTCCACATAACCTCCATCTGTCTATAGACTTCTGAAGGTGATAATTACATCTCTAGTCCTTTCCTGAAGAATCCTGTGCTCTTCAATGCACACTAAACCCAAACCGCAGTTTGGGCATCTTCAAGAGATTCAAACTGTGTTCCATTGAAATGTTCTTTGAATTTGGGGAACAAAAAGAAGTATGTCAACAAGGATCAAGCCTATCCCCTCAGTACACAGGATTGATAGGGATATAGATATTGGCTACCTAAAATGGAGGGAGCAATAAAGGCACAAAGTGGCTGGCATATAAGTTTTCAAGAGAGGGTTTAGTTTGAGAGTGTGCAAGGGAATGTAGAACCCCCAACTGAATAGTTTTCATCTTGTCTAGATGGGTCTAGTGAAAGGAGATGGGGATAAGATTCTTATGATTCAATAGTGAGTAATTGTTATCATGACTAATTGTGACTGTCACAACTGTAAAGGTAGAAGTATTATAACATAAACGGGGGGAGTAGTTAATCTTTCACTCTGGGAACAGAGGACCCTAGGATCACCAAAAGAGAAGAGCATGAGCAGAATGTGAGACCCTATCCAGAGAAGCAGTGACACCAGAGACGGAGGCAGAGCTGAAGACATGGAGACATAGAGCATCTGAAGACTCTAGATTCATGGGAAGAGAGGGACTGAGAGCTGGCAGCCAGGAGGCAGGCTTGCAGAATGTGCCCTTTGGTTGTTTAAATGATTATATATTCCTGAGTGTTTGTGTGTACGTCAAAAACAACAACAACAAAATAAAAACAGGGGATAGAAGCAAATGCTCTTAAATAATGATACATGGAGGGGATTGTAATCATTGCAATGAAACAAAATATGATATGCTGAGTGCTAAACTAATGTTCGTCCATGTAAATTATCACTCAATTCACAATAAAAGCTCTTATAAAAAGAAGATGAAGAAATCTGAGGAGGTAAGATCAGGGTTATGGAGTGGATGGGATTTTGTACAACATTCTTTGCTATCCTCGAAGAACGTGTCATGATGGGGGAAAAAAATCTTCAGTATAATTTTTCTGGTCTTAGTCTCACCAATGCAGTTTTCTGTTTTCTTAAAACTTCTTCCTACTAAGCCTCTGTGGTGATCATCCTTCGAAAATATTTATCAGGATGACCCCTTTGGCAACCTAAAAAACAGTCACCATACCCTTCTGAGCTGACCTCTCTGCCTTGAATTTAACTGGCCCTTGAATTTAAAAAGACACTAGTTTGACTGGGCCTTTGTTTTTGGAGGCATCTGAACAAAACTAAGAGTGTTGCTAAAACAACTTGTCTGTAGCCATCCATTGATATAGAGACACGCTTAAACATGGTTTGTTTGTAATGAAATCATGCAATACCTAGTAGCAATACTTTGTATGTGTACATACGTATACAAATATGTACATTGAGAGCTAGATGTAGAGGAAGGTTCTCGTAAACAGTACACATAAAAAGCTTATTTAAGTGATGCGTCACTGGACCAATAAACAAAGAGAAAAGCCACACAACAGCTAGTAAATTATATCAGGCTGCTAACTGAAAGGCCGGAGTCCTAGTGTGGAGCCGCGGGTTAATGCACTGGATTGCAAGGTCAGTTTGAGCCACAAGGTCGGCGGTTCAAGCTCACCAGCCACTCTTCAGAAACCCTACACAGGGTCATATGAGTCGGACCAATTCGACAGCACTTAACAACAACAACTGAAAGGTCAGCAGTTCAAACCCTCCAGCTGTTTCACCAAAGAAAGATGAAGACGGACAGGCTCAGAACCCTAGTGAGTACTTCTACTCAGACCTAGTGAGCCATTAAGAGTCAAAATCTACTAGATGGCAGTGGGTTTGAAGTTTTTGGGTTTTGTAATCTCTAATGCACATATTGGAGTACTGGTGTGGTACTGTAGGACAATATACTGCACTGTAAGACCGGTTTGAACCACAAGGTGGGCGGTTCAAGCTCATCATTCACTCCTCGGAAACCCTACACGGGGTTGCCATGAGTCAGAAGAAAGAGGAGGCAAAAAAGAGCAATCTGATACAATTTGATGAACTTGACCTACACCTATGGATGCAGTAGCTCAAAAGAGGGAACAAATCTTTACAGTGAGGATCATTCCCATCCCCTCCATACACAGAGTAGACAGAGATGGGCAACTTGGACACTGGTTACCCAAAATGGGGGTGCTAAAAAGGCAAGAGGTGACTGGCTTACAAGCTTTCAAGAGGGAGCCTAGATCCAGAGGGGGTGGAGAAAGGTAGAATCTCCACTGAGTAGTATCCAATTTGTCTGGGCAGGGCTGATGAAAGGAGATGGGGATCGGATTCTTGTGGTACAATAGTGAATGATTGTTATCAGGACTGACTGTGAGGTTTGAAAACATAAAGGTAGACGTTTTGTAGCAAAAGGAGGGGAGTGGATGTCCAGGAGCGGAGGTCCCTGGGACCATCAAGGGAGAAGAAAGGAATACAGGACCCTACCCAGAGAAACAGTGATGCCAGAGATGGAAGCAGAGACGATGATGTGGAGAGATGGAGCAGCTAGACCCAGAGAGGAAAAGGGGCTGTGTGCTGACAACCAGGGAGCAGGCTTGCAGGGTATACCCTTTGGTTGGTTGATGATGCATGGAGGGGATTGTAACCATAGCAATGAAACAATATAGAATAGGATGAATGTAAAGCTAATGTTCTTTCATGTAAATTCTATCACATAATTCACAAGAAAACACTTTTTTAATTACCAGGCCTTTTTTCCATGGCACCACTGGGTGGGTTTGAATTGCCAGCCTTCAGGTAAGTTGTCTAATACAAATGGCATTATGAAGGGACATTGCATTAGGGAAGTGATCACCAAATTTTGGGCTCAAGGAAGGGTTCTGGGTGGGGACAGGGATTTTGTTAGCAAAAATCTCAAGCAAGTATGAAATACATTAGGATGTCTGGCTTTGGCAAAGCTGAGTGCTGATCCTGAGCCTGTACTCAGTATCATCATCGCAGGACTCCTCTGAGTATTTTGATTCCATCAGTGACTTTAGGAGCCCTCTGTGAGAGCAGCAAGGCTTATGCTCCACACCCCATCAACGAGGATCCCGTCCACGCTCTACACCCCAACAACGAGGACCCAGTCCCACCACAGGGATCAGTGGATGTACCAGATGCCTCCCCACCCCCACCCACCTCACTGACCTGGAAGCACCAGAGACTTACCTGAGGAACCTAGCTTGAGAATCTTTATAAAAGACTCCAGGGTTTCTGTCTGGCCCAGGGTGCTCTCAACAGCACCCAGCCCAGCTGAGGAAACCATTCCTCCCTGCCTGGCACCACATCTCAACCCTTGCAGGCACTTGGGGAGTGGACACCTGGCAGATGTTTGTGGCACACCTGGTACCAGGCCAGTGTTTCCTCACCTTCTCCTCACTTTACCTGCACTACCTCCTGCTCAGAGCCACCTAGCAGGCACACAGCAGGTGATAGGATGAGGAAGCCCAGGCAGGCTCAATGCTGAGCTGCAACGTCATTGGTCCATTTCTAACTTACAGCACCCTCTTCACAGCTCATGTCACACCACCTGGACCAAGCTAGTGGCATCAGAAGATGGGGCAGATGTCACCCTGGAGCTTCAGTTGTTGGGTGACAGTCATCCTGATGAGGGATGAGTGCAGGAGACATCCACTTTGGAACACACCTTCTTTATACTCTAAATACAGGCTGTGAACCCTGACCTCAGCACTGAGCAAATTTGAGGCAACCACAAGGCGACACATGCACCGTAGGATTGTGGTTCGGCGCAAGCCTACCTGTAGGTATCTGGGACAGGTGCTTGTACACAAGGTGCAGGTTCTCCCGGCAGAGCTGCTGGGGGTCGTTCAGCAGGAAGGACAGGGCCACAATGATATCATGCTCCAACAAGCCATCCCTGGACAGAATAACGTGAAGTCAGACATGACAAGTACGTGCACACCAGACCCTGAGACCAGAAAAACTAGTGCCTGGCTACTACTATTAACTGCTCTGAAAGGGATCACATTGGAAGGTCCTGAACAGAGTGGGAGAAAAATGTGGAACAAAACTCAAAATACACGCATCACCAACGGGGGGAAGTGGGGTAAAAGCAGCAATGAAGTGGCAAGCTAAGCCCTACAATGTTCAGTGGACTTCTGTGGACCCAGGTGGGGACCTGGTTGGCAAGCAGTGTGAGGAGACCTGGGGACTCTTGGGCCCAGAGTCAGTGGCGTGGCCACGGAGGACTTGAGAGTAGATTGGAGCTACAGCTGATGGGAAGACAGGGCATATGCACAGGAACGCCCACACTTGCAGATGATACCCATGTGACCTGGACCAGATGACTGGATGATCGGAGCTCAACCAGGAGAAGAAAGAAGAGGGGGGAAAAAAAAAAAAGTGAGCTGATATAATCTGATAAACTTGACCTATACCTATGGAGCAGCAACTCAAAAGAAGGAACAAATCCTTACAGTAAGAAACTTTCCCACCCCCTCCACACACAGAATGGACAGAGATGGGCAACTTGGACATTGGATACTCAAATGGGGAGGGGGGGACTACAAAGGCAAGAAGTGACTAGCTTACAAGCTTTCAAGAGGGAACCTAGTGCTAGGGGGCATGGAGGAAGGCAGAGTCTCCAGTGGGTACTATTCAATCTGTCTGGGCGGAGCTGATGAAACGAAATACAGATGGGTAACTCGTGATACTGTAATGAATAATGCTTATCAGGACAGATTATGAGGGTTGGAAATGCAAAGGTAGAC